TGCCATGCTTGGTGTCCGACCCTTCAACTGTATAGAGTACAGAGACTCTATCCTGTGGAAGGGGTACTACATAAATGCAAGTTGTTGTTATCACTAGGCTCTCCCAGAGAATCAAAATCTAAATGGTGTAGGCTGTCAGAGAAAGGGGAACATGGGGAGGATCACTGCAGTCATAGCCATAGCCTCAAAAATTTTGCTTCTTATCCACATATATCTTCAAATTAGCAGGTTGCTCATCTCATTGTTCTTCATATGGCATTGCTGTTGTATTTTTCCAATAAAGCAATATTCACTTTAACCTCTAATTCATTTTATTTCATCAAGTGCTTTGAGACAGTTTGCATGAAGGACACTGTATAAATGCAGTATAAAACTAGTATAAAAGTTACTATTATTATAGGATGTCAAAAGTACCCAACGTTATCCTTTGGTCATGACAAGTGGCAGAGCTCACTACCATTGCAGATTGATTCATTACTTCAGATCATCTTCCTTTATGTCGAATTATAGAACATTGATAGCAGGAAAGGAGACCATTTGGCCCATTGTGTCTATGCTGTACTTGCCCCCCCAATGAGATCAAAGAAAATTTACTGCACAGAAGCTGTCTTTTCAAGGCTAAAGCATCCAAGCTTTTTTAACCATTCTTTATAGCTCATCTATCTAATGCTCCATCAAAGCCTCTTTGCTTTCCTCTACACAGCCTTTAGAGCCTGGGCAGCCAGAGAAAACCCCAAAGACAATCTGTTATTTGGGGAAACGTAAGGACACTATTAAGATAGTTAATAGCATGGTGTAATGGGCCAAGCCTACTCACACGTGATGTGTTTCAATCTGCAAATTAAGAAATACAAGTTTGAAAGGCCGCCCAGAGATGCTGGTATAGGTGTGGCTAGATTCAATTCTTTAAAGGTTAAGCAAAACATGTCTAACTGTGTGTCCGTTGTCTTAGCCACATACACACAAGATATGTGAATGATATTTTTGGAAACCGAATCAGTTTAATGGTATTTAAATGTAATAATTATAACATTCCTTGCATTTGATTTAGAGCCTTTCACATTGAAATATCTCAAACACCTTTATAGATGAATGTGGCATTAATGTGGTGTATAATACAAAAGGATAGATTTTTTTGTGATTCTATGAAATAGTGAAGAAAGGAATAGAAGGATATGGGAGGGACTAACGAGTGTTGGGAGATTCGTACGGAGGATAAACACCAGCATGGAGTAGTTGGGCCGACTGGCCTGTTTCTGTTCTGTATAATCTATGTAGTTGCCTCTGATGGGAAGATCTGTTTTTTATCAACAACAAAAAAAAAGGAGTGGGACACTGCTGTGCGCAATTGGCTGCCATGTTTCGTCCACAAAATATAGAGCCAATTCACTTTATAGTATATTCGGTGAAACGCTTTGAGATTGTGCTCAGTAAAACACTTTGCAAATTTACTTTCATCCAAGTCTGCGGAATGTGTTTGACTTCTCCCTTCTGTCGATACTTGTTGGTTACGTGTATTTATACACCTGTTGAAGTGATGCATCTGGAATACCACAATCAACGTCATTTCACTTGGTGCACCAACAGAAACCTCTGAGTATTTAATAACCTGTTTAAAATTGACAAATTGATTGCCTAGAATTTGTTATCACCACTTATTGTACAGCACGCGTTAAAGTAGAATTATGGAAAAGTATCTTAAGCACATTTTGCACACCTCGAAGATGTGATAAGGCGCTATATCAAATGCAAGGATTATTATATTATTATTATAACAAAACGTTTATATCCAGCCTTCACGTGAGATATAAACTGAGGTCCCACCTGCCGGTGAGGTGATGTTAAACATCCCATGGCATTATTTGAGAAGCATAAGAGAAGAGAGTTTCTCATGATGTCCTAGCCAACATTTCCCAGATTCATTTGCTGTTAATTTCTTGGGACCTTGCTGAGTACAAATTGGCTGCTATGTTTCCATACAAATTCCTAGTCACTAAACTTGACAACAATTTCCTGTGAAGCAATTTGAGATGTTTTGCTGTCACAGATACTACATCAGATGACTTTATGCATGTTCATGCTACAACCCAGTGGATTTAATGGGATGAAAATGGGGTCACTAATGACTACAACAACAACAAGATTCCATTTATAAAGCGCCTTTCACGTCAGGAGGACGTCCCAAGGCGCTGCACAGTTGGGTCATGACCCGAGCAGGGGGGAAATGGTCAGGGTGAGGGGAAGGGAGGGAGCAGGAGGGGGGAAATGGTCAGGGTGAGGGGAGGGAAGGGAGGGAGCGAGGAGGGGGAAGAGAGTCGAGAGGGGAGCTGAAGGCACGGTCAAAGAGAAAGGTTTTGAGACCGGCCTTGAAGGAGGAAAGGGAGGAAGCGGCGAAGGCACTGGGGGATGGAGTTCCAGAGCCTGGGGCTGAGAGGCTGAAGGCCCGACCACCGATGGTAGGGCGGTTGGGGCGGGGGACGTGGAGCAGACCGGAGCCAGAGGAACGGAGGGTACGGGCAGGTAGGTAGGGGGATAGTAGGTTGGAGAGGTAGGAGGGAGCAAGGCCGTGAATGGCCTTGTAGGTGAGGATGAGGATCTTGAAATCAATCCTCTGGGGGATGGGGAGCCAGTGGAGGCGAGCGAGGGTGGGAGTGATGTGGTCCCGAAGCCTGGTGCGGGACAGTACACGAGCTGCAGAGTTCTGAATGACCTGCAGCTTGTGGAGGGAGGTGGCGGGAAGGCCGGCGAGGAGAGAGTTCCCATAGTCCAGCCTTGAGGTGACAAAGGCGTGAACCAGGGTTTCAGCAGCGTGAGGGGTGAGGTAGTGCCGTAGTCTGGCGATGTTCCGGAGGTGATGGAAGGCGGTGCCAGTTGTGGTGCGGATGTGAGGGAGAAAGGACAGCTCAGGGTCGAACAAAACGCCGAGGTTCCTGACTGGCTTTGAGAGGTGGAGAGTGCAGCCTTGGATGCTGATGGTGTCAGCGCCTGAGGTGCGGAGGCGCTGACGTGAGCCAATCAGGAGGGCCTCGGTTTTTCGCACGTTGAGCTGAAGAAAGTTGTCTCTCGTCCAGGACTCGATGTCGGACAGGCAGCTGTCAGGACATCGGTGGTCGTGGAGTTGAGAGTAGAGGAGGAAAGGTAGAGTTGGGTGTCATCCGCATACATGTGGAAGTTAACTCCATGTCTGCGGATGATGTCACCACAGGGGGAGCATATAGAGGGTGAAGAGGAGGGGACCGAGGACAGAGCCCTGAGGGACACCACATGAGACAGTGCGGGGGGTGGAGGAGAAGCCATTCGTCGAGACGAAGTGAAGACGGTGAGAAAGGTACGACCTAAACCATTCAAGGACAGTGCCTTGAAGGTTGAGGTGGGAGGACAAGCGGTGGAGTAGGATAGCGTGGTCGACCGTATCGAATGCTGCCGATAGGTCGAGGAGGACGAGGAGACAGAGGGAGCCCTGGTCACAGATGGTCAGGATATCATTGGTGACCTTGACCAGGGCAGTTTCTGTGCTATGGGCAGCACGGAAACCTGACTGAAGGGGTTCGAAAAGAGAATGGGTGGAAAGGAAAGAGCGCAGTTGGGAGGCGACAACTCTTTCCAAGACCTTGGAGAGAAAGGGGAGGTTGGAGATGGGCCGGTAGCTTGATAGCTGCGACGCATCAAGGGAGGGTTTTTTCAGGGTGGGCGTGATGATGGCAGTTTTTAATGGAATGGGGACAGAGCCAGAGGAGAGGGACAGGTTGATGATGTCAGTGATATGTGGGGCAAGAAAGTGGAGCTGGGAGATAAGGAGTGGAGTGGGGATGGGGTCAAGGGAGCAGGTGGTTGGTTTTAGGGATAGGATGAGTTCAGTGACAGAGGGTGGGGAAACGGGTACGAAGGTGTGTAGGGGAGGATGGGTAGGAGTCGGAGTGTGGGAGGGAAGGGGTGGGTGGTGGGTGGAAGTTGGAGGGGAAGTGACCGCGGAGCGGATTCCCTTGATTAGATTGATAGGGTTGAAGTAGATCATGGAGGTAGGGTAAATTATGTCTTGACTTTGGTTATCTCATGGTTGTTTTACCACTTATCAGGGCAAAGTGAGAATTATGAGAATCTTAATTACATGACAAGAACAGTTAATCTCTATAATAAAATACTATTTAGCATAACAAAGATTTTCTCTTAATAATGTGTTTTGGGCCTCAGTATGTTTCTGCTTTTGCCTCACTGTTATTCTACTGTTAAATGGGTTTGATGTTTCAAATAAAAAAATTATAAAAGAATGGAAGCCCAAGGTTATTTTCTTGATTTGATTCTTTGGTGATTTATCTTTCAAAACAAATATGAAAAATGTCCTGAAAGCAAAATCCCAATCATTTCTGTTTGTGAATGGCACAATTTCAATCCTCAGTTTTACTGTGCTGAAGTGCACAATTCAAACAGAGCTAACACCAAGCAGTATTGAGACACTGGTCATCAGCTCAGCATAGAACAACTGGACAGCAATTTAACATTATTAAACTTAACAGGAATGAATGCCAGTTAGCATTGCTTAAAATCATGCTTGCAACTGCTTCCTTGGCTGAGATCCTGCAATGTTCTACTGTGATTGGATTGACGCTGCATGGGCGTTTACCCACTAGGCCTTTGGAAAGGGTTAATTTGTATAGCAACGTGTTGTAACAATGTTTGCTCATCCGTAAGTGAAATTAGATTTTGATTGAGGAGTGCCCTTTTAATATAATTTTTTTGATGCAGTATGACAGACAGCAGGAAATGCAATGTCAGTTATGAAAGAAATCCAAAAGTGAAGGTTGAATTAACATTACAGTCAAGTGAAGTATCGCCTCCTGGGCTTCTGGATCTCAGCCACATGGAACTCAGAGATTTCTATTGGTGCACCAAGTGAAATGACGTTGATTGTGGTATTCCAGATGCAACACTTCAACAGGTGTATAAATACACGTGAACAACAAGTATCGACAGAAGGGAGAAGTCAAGCACATTCCGCAGACTTGGGTGAAAGTAAATTTGCAAAGTTTTTTACCGAGCACATTCAACAAGCACCCGTTCCTGAATATGGAATATTCAGCTGGAAAATATATCGTAATAATAAATGGTAAGGCTCTCTATTTTACAATACATTAAATCTGTTTGCCTACCTTTGGCACTTAGATTGTTTCTATAACCTGTTTAAAATTGACAAATTGATTGCCTAGGACTTGTTAACACCACTTATTGTACAGCACGAGTTAAAGTAGAATTATGGAAAACTATCTTAAGCACATTTTGCACGTTCAGCCTTGTCTTGAGGCTCAGAGTAAGCAGCAGTGTTTCTGGAAGTAATCAGCAGTATCATATCTTGGATGCTGTCAAAATGGTTCATTTCAGTGATTTACCATGGAATGTTTACAGCACAGAAGGAGATCATGCTTTTCATTGTGTGCAGTTTTCAAAAAGCACAAGCTTATTATTATAACTTTATAACAATATCAACTTTAGAATTTGAGAACTCCTGTAAATTAACCTGGTCCAACATAATTTCCAACACAAGACCTGAAACTAAGTACAATTATTTTAAGCAGAACTGCAATTAATTAATACTTGAAATAATGCACTTTGCACCCCTAAGAGCTGGGACCAGTTGTATCACGAGAGCTGTCAAGGCATGAACTTTCTCAAATACATGTAAACCAAGCAAAAAGAACCTGCTCTTTTTATCAAGAAGATTGCTCATCTCTCATCGTACACTTCCTGGGGGTCATAACACCATTGCGAGTGTTGCCTGCAGTAATTGTTTTTGATTGTTAGAACTATTGAAGAATGGAACAGTATTTGTCTGCCTGGTGTGGTGTTGTGCTCAACCACCTTGTTTCAGTTTTGTTTTCTTGCCACGTTATGCAGAATTTATCAGTCAGACTAAGATATTGTTATCGCCAGGATTAGACCTTGACAAGCAAACAATTGGATCTATCGCGTTCTTTACAATTTTTTCCCTACCTGTGCCTGTGGCACTATCTTCAATGCAATTCATTGCTTTGCAGACATTTGGTACAGTATAGCGCCGCCTCACATTGGGAGGATGTCCCAAAGTGCTTCTCAGGATATACTGTAAAGTGAAGTGTCTATGTTTTGTGGGCCAATATGTATTTCTGTAAAGTTCATTGTCTTTCCACAAGACTGTAATGGATTGACCTTCGCTACTGTGTGAATGTAAAGCCAATAATATAGCACCATTTTAAAGAGAGAAAATGCTACCACAATGTAACACTGTTTGTTTAACTGAAATATGAACAGACAGTATAATTATACAGAGATGTGTTAACAAATTGCGTATTTGATGCTTTCAGCTATCGATTGATAACTGCGATAAGATAAGTCATTCATGAGATAATTAGAGAGGTGTGGATAAACAAGCCCTTTGGCCCATTTGATCTCATCCTTTCAGAATGCCCAACTTATTATCTACCTATTGCAGCATCAAAAGGAAGAAATTCCACCTGTGACATTTAGAGAGTCCACAATTTGACAAAATCTTAAATACAACCTTCATTTTGAAGCTGCTTTCTCTGTAGGTTCTTTGATGAACTACAGAAAATCAGCTTCAAATTAAATTTGTCAAATTCTGGATGCTCTGAAATATTACATAAATAGAATAAATTTAGATCCAAGTGGAATTTCTCGTCAGAAGCTGTTTCCTGAATCAATCCGGTGTTCTAGTCCCAACCACCCTTTCTGGAATCCCATTCCACCTGTTAACTACCCTTTATGTAAAGAAATGCTTTGTGGTATCTATCCTGAAATTATCGGTTGGAGTTGAGTACCTGTGCCCCTAGTCCTGCTGTTTGGGAGCCTCAGTGCTGGTTTGCACCTAGTTAAGCACCAAATATGAAATACAACAGAGTTCTGCTACAGAGTTGCCATTAAATGATCATTTCTCTTTTCTAGCTATCATCGCAATGACTAACGCTGGGAATATATTGAGCAAGACAGCTGCCCCCGGTTTATTGTCGGCTTCAGATGTGCTTCAGAATGAGTTGGAATCTGCAGCACAAAATAAACCAGCTCAGAAAGGTATGGACAAAGTGAAATTGCAGGTCTTCAGTTGGATGGTGGTAGTCAGAGCTTTCTCAGATGGCTTGAGTGCCCCTTGAGTGAGGGAAAGGGAAACATAAGCCTGGATTCCTGCACTTTCTAGTGTGGATGTATGTGACTACCAGGTAAGGACTAAAATCAGACTTAGTTCTGAAGTCCCTACAGTCTTGGGTCTTGATGACAGGGCACCGTTTCCTGGCAGCCTGCAGTCTAGATTTGGACCCAAGTTGTTTTATGCAGATTGTGGAGGCCTTGGTCCAAATCCCTTTTTCCATCCAATGCAGTTCCTGATTTAATTTCTGCATGTACTTTACCATACTGCTACGTTATGGGCAGAGTTTGGGCAAGGCTGGTAAGTTGCGGTGGGCAGGCTGGAATTTGGCACATAACCCAGCTCGAGCTGTTTGTTTTTGAATGAGGTGGGGATGGAGCTGAGCCAGCTCCATCCCCACCTCATTCATAGAGGGCATAGAGGGTAAAGGAAATGAGACTGAGGGAAATACAATTAGAATTAATAAATTATGTTGCAGTGAATCAGATAGGGTACAAGCAAAAAAAAGGGGCAAAAAATCTTTGTATTTGACATGGTGCATTTTACTCTGGGAGAATGTTTCAAAACATTTCACAGGTTATACTGTACAATGACTGATATTTTGTAAGCGAACATAGGCAGACAATTTGTACCCAGCAATGTCCCACAAACAGCCCAACAATGTCTCACAAACAAACAGTGAAGTGAATGACCAATTTCCATCTGGGAGATTGTTGGTCAGAACAATGGGAAAATCTCCCTTCTCTTTTTGAGTCATGCCAAGGGATCTTTAACGTTTATCTGATGGTACGGCACTCCCGACATTACAGACATTCCCAGCATTACATTGGAGTGTCAGCCTAGATGATTGAGCTTAAAATCCCGATGTGGGGCTTGAGGTGAGAATATGACAGACTGAGTCATACTGAAAAGAAAGGAATTCATGGACCACGTTATTGTACATTCTATGAACATCACACTGCTAATACTGTTTACTAACTATTTACAGAAGGCTGCCTGAAACTTACATTAATGGTGCAATGATAGGACTACAATGTCCACACCATGTAAATTATAACAAGTGCACATTAACAACTAAACCATTTGTCGCTATTCCAAGCAATTTTGAAACCTCAAATCAGAAGTCAAAAACTGATTCTCTCTATACAGGCATAGAGCAGATACAGTAAATATGAGGTTAGGTTAGATTTCAGAGTTTATAATTTTAAAAAACAATACCCTTTGGGAAGATCAAGATTTTCACACAAATAATCTTTTTTACTTGAAAGCAATTTTTCACTAGATTTCTTGCTGTGCCTGCCAGTCTTTGTAATTTAAGATCCATATACTGTGGGGAGTTTCTCTTGATGTCCAAAACCAACACTCCTTCAAACACATTGGTCATTCACCTTACAGCTGTTTGGGGGACATTGCTGGTGCAAATGACTGCGTTACTTGCTTGCTAAAACAATTACTACACTTGACAATAATTAGTTGAGACATTTTGATACTTCAACTTGTTATAAAAATATACAGATCCTTTCTTTAGGATAGTTCTCATTGTACATTTGTGATGTAGAAGGATGAGATTAGAGGTGTCGAAGGGCCTTTTTCATCTGAACCAAACCTGTAACCTTTGTGGTATGAATCTTATATTGGAAAACTTCCATTATCAGCTCATGCTGCATCTTAATACCTGCTGATTGGTAAGGTTACCAACAAACATCAAGGGTGCCTTTCAAGATGGGCAAACTTGCCAATGAGAGGGGAATCATCCCCTTGAGCTTGGCATGATGAGACAGCTCACCACACTTGTCAGCACTTGCCATAGCTATGAAGCTCTTTGCTTAGAAAGGGTTCAGGTCAACAATTAAATATAATTATACATTGTAGGGGAAATGGGAAGGCACAATTAATGAATGGGTGATTAAAGAGGCATATAAAATTATACATGAATGACATTCCTTTGACAGTGAGTAACATTGGGCACGTACTAATTATTCTGTCATATGGCAGACTCCAGTCAGTTGTATTGTTGATTGATTTTGTGTCCTTCTCACAAAGATCATGTAGATCATGTATCAGCAGCCCTCGGGTTGTTACATTAGTTATTTTCCAATTATATCATCAGCAAGATGGCATTTTCTTATTTTTATTTCTCATACCTTCTCTAGGTTAAAGAGAATATAATAACCCACAGCCCATCCCTTGGATCATGGCATGTGGAACTCTTGTGACAACCTCCCCGGAGCAGGGAAGGAGTTATATGCGACACCCTTCAAACCCCAATGCAACATTCACTGACTTGTCCCGTTAACCCTCCCATTACGTCCTCTGACATCAGAATTGGAAAACGACATTGATTTCAACTTGAACGAAACATTCAAAACGTGGCCCTTTTCTACTCTTTACATTTAAAACATAATGCGTAGAAGAGCACTGTCCTTTTAGGAAAGTTGTACTAAATAGCTGATATAGCTTTCATTATACTCTTAGCAAACATTCCCAGTTCGTTCCTTAAAGAACTCACATGTTATAATCCATGTAATAAGATGCAATTTTAAATCAATTGTATTTAATACAAGATATTAGAAGGTCAAGACCTCTCAAAGCACTTCAGATAATGAGTTACCCTGAAGTTACTCTGAATTCCTTTTCTTTACTGACTCTTTTGTTGCTTAGCTAAATCTCTATCCACCCATTGACAAGTGCCCAATTCCAGTGTCAGATTATCCCATGAATGGAATCCATAAGCCTCTGGATCTATTTCCCTTGTTTTCTTTCTACGTATCTATCTATGTAACTCAGGACAAGCTGAGATTTCAACTTGCAAATTCAGGTCAGTTCTGTTTAGTGATTCACTGACCAATACCTTCACCCACTGCAAAGAGTCTCAGGCAGTCACAACTGTTGGGAGCCAGCGGTTCAATCTGTAATAAAATTGTTGAAAGTCTTTGCTCTTAATCCAGCCTATTTACCTTAAAGAGCAATTGCAAAAGAGTGTGGATGCTTCAAAGTTGCTTTGAAAATCCAACGGCAAGTTGACAACACCTTGACTGGAGATGAAGGATTTTCTGGCTACCCACACTATAATGTTTCAGGAATGCTCAAGCTGTTCAGTTACAGGTAGATACTATTTTAATTATACATAACAGCTTTTTCAAAATATGATGAGGTAACTACACTACCCCTTTTATTTTGGATACAATAAAAAGTATTTGATAATAATAATCTTTGCACTTGATATAGCGCCTTACTGCGTCATTGAGACGTCTCAAAGCACTTCACAAGATATACTGTGGGCAACTGAAATTTGTGGGCAAAACGTGGCAGCCAGTTGTGCATAGCAGTGTCCCACAAACATGAAGTGAGTGACCAATTTTATTTGGGGGGATTGTTGGCCAGGACACCGGGAGAAACTCCCTTCTCTTTTCGATAGTGCCATGCGATCTCTAACGTCCACCTAAATAGGCAGACAAGGCCTTGGTTTTACGTATCATCCAAAGGACGGCCCCTCCGACAATGCAGCACACGCCCAGCACTGTATTGAGGATACATTTTGACATTCCGTATTCCACAACCTTCTAACTCAGAGACGACAGTGTAAAGTGTCGACCACAGAGCCAGGTTGACACAAGATGTGATTTTACGTCAACTGCCAATAGATTACTGCAATCTGATCCAGTGAGGTTAGTAATGAGAATCATGGCTCGGAGCAGTATTCCCAGTTTCTGATGTTACAGCAGCAGGTATGAATACACAACAGAGAGCATTGCATTAAATCTGGCTCAGACACCAGGAAAAGTTCAACAACCTTCCTTGTACTGCTTAGGGTTTATGGTTGAACATGCTTCTCCTCTGAATGTAATTTCTTGAAAGAAAGTTAACTTGCTGTGAAAGCGGAGAAATAGCATCCAGTGCAGATCATCCAGAAGTTTGCAGCCTATATCCTCTTCCGGATCAGGCTTCATGCCCCTGTCAACCCCATCCTAGGGCATCCACTGGTTCCTCAACACTCAGCAGATCAAATTCAAGATTTTTGACCTCATTTTGAAATTCTTCCATGGCCTTTTACTTACCTCTACAACCTCCTGTGCAATACTGCCCTGGCCGTTTCCTCCACTTAGCCTGTTTCATTTCCACCTTATGATCCTCTCCACCATCGATGGGCGAGCCTTCAGCCACTCTGCTCCCGCTCGCTAGAACTCCATCTTGGAGTGTCTCCATTTCGCCCCATCTCTCTGTACCTTCAAAACCCACCTGTTTGACTGTGCTTTCAGCCACCTTTCCCTCCCAAAGCTCAGGTACCCAGCCAGCTGTGTGAAGCACTTTTGAGAGTGAAAAATGCTGTATAAGTGTAAATTGTTGTTGTTGTTAATGGTCATTCAACATTTTTTTGTTTGTTTCACAGAAGCCCAAGAACTTCCTGCAGTCCTATTAGTTCAAAAACCTTGTCATAAAGATGATAAAAGCTACTGTATGAACGGCATCTGCACCTACCAAGATGATCAGGATCAAAGTATGAAACACCGCATGTGTGTGTAAGTCTTGAAGATTTTAGATTATTATTAAACCCCTTCATAATCCTGAGACTCTTTACTGAACCACATCCAAAGTCAAAGTTGCGAAAGAAAGAGAGAAAGAAAGTTAGAGAGAAAGCTTGCTGGTTGGGGAATCGCTTTCTTAACTTAGCGCTGACCAAATCTGAGGGGTTTATTTTGCGACATTTCTTAATATGTAATCCTGTTTGAATTTACTTGATCTGCAGGAACTCTGCCCTGGAAGTGGATTGCAGGGAAGCAGAAGTCAGCACAATGTTCTTTCGGATACTGGAAGGGCTCTCCATTAGTGGAACTCTGATTCTTAAAAAGGAACTTAAATAGGATTGGAAAAGTAAACCCAGAACAATAATTTAAAATATACCAAGATAGTAGGTCAAGAGGACATAGTTTTACAATTGCAAAGGGCAACTTCAAGATAGATACCAAGAAATGTTTCTTCAGATAGAGATAATTAACGACCGGAACAGGTTGCTAGGAAAGGTGGTTGAGGCCAGTGATGAGATTCGATAGGTTGAAAGACCTTTTTCATCTAAACTCATCTTGTCATCTTGAGAATCTGGTCGGGTCTTGATTTAGGCTTACAAAAGTAAGTCAAATTAATTATACAAACAGAACAAAGTTTAAAATACACATGTGTGAAATCTTCCTTTGTTTCAGTTGTCATGCAGGATACACAGGAGACAGGTGCCAGCACATGACATTAACATCTCATACAACTGAAGATTCAGAAAGGTATATAGCCATTGTCATTGGATCAGGGTTCCTGCTCATCGCACTAGCTGGTGTTCTCTTCTATTTCATTCATTACAGGTAAGCACAACAACAACAACTTGCACTTGCCCTCCATGCAGGGTAGCGTCTCAGAGCGCTTAAAACACAAGGCAGTCAGATTACAACTCCCTTTAAACATTATTAGGGAGAAATTCCACCTAGCTCCAGACTTACTCTCCTTATGTAGAATTAGAATGTCCAGAACTAGAACATTATTGAATTTAGTCCTAACTTTGAGCTTCGATTTCTGACCTTAGAAGAACTAAACAGATAAACAACTTAAAAATTAAGGCTGTATTTAAGAATTTGTCAAATTCAGAACACATTAAAATGCTACATAAAAAGAGTAAATCTCCTTTTGTATTGTGTTATAGGTGAATCCTCCATAATGGAAACTGACAGATTTATGAATATTATACACTTTAAAAAAGAAAAGTTGCACTTCTGCATGAACATTTAAAAAAAAGTCCCCAGAAGGGCAGTCCAAGTTTCTCCTCAGCACCTAATTCCTGCTCTCACCAAATTCCTTTCTTGGCTCTATCTCCTGTCTCATTACTTTTGCTGCTGAGAACTCTAGTTCATTAACTGGTTCTCAAAGGAGATTATTTCTGGTCAGTCGGGTATCTGACATATGCAAAAACACATCACCATACTTAAGAGTATGCAAACCAGACTGATAGTTCCAAGTTTGTATGCCATCTACACATGTACACATGTGTCTGGAATAGAAATATGCATTCTCTCCCCCAGATTGACATACCATGCTTACCTATTTCTTGACACCATTGAGTGCAGGTTTATGAGAGCCAAGGCATGGAGACATCAGAGTATATGTTGGGATACTACTGGAATTCAACCAACTAAAATCACATTGCTTGCCTTTCAAAGCACTGCAGACTTCTCACTGTTTGTCCATTTAGGACCACCCTACCCAAGAGGGCTTTGGGTTGTGGGGTTAACAGTAGATGAGTGGAAAGGATCTTACTGACAGTGCCTTGTTTGCTCTCCAAGTCCCCTTATTGCCTCACCATGATAATTTACTTCAGTTGCAGCTGCTAGCAGTAATAAATCAATCGCTGAAAACCTAACAAGCCTCCAAAACTGATATAACTTTACATAATCACTGTCTTGATAATTCACATCAGCAACAGTGACTTTTGCATTCCATTTGTTGCTGGTTTCTCACAGATATTGATGTACACCTATTAAGCATTGTGACAATGATGTTATTTATTTTCAGATGCCAAAAATCAAATGCAACATATAATAAATGTTTGAGAGAGGCACAAGTTTGACTCTGTGCCCCCGCCACGCTTTCCATGATAGACGCCAATGATAAAGGCAAAGAGTTTTATTGAAACATTATTACTGATGTTTATTGGGTCATGAAACACCAGAGGCACTGAGCACTGACCAGAACATGGACCATGGACATCAGCAGTTGCCATGATACAACATCTTTGAAATCTTTGGAAGTTTTACTGCTTTGTGGAAAAATTTCCTGTTAGAACTTTTTAAATTACCTAATGTATTCTCATTAAATGTGCTTTTTTTCCCACTCCGTGTCACCCAAGATACCATGTCCATTCTTCATGTGTGAGCCCACAAATGTCAGCAAACTATTCAACTGTGGGATGACATCACAACCAAGTTCCTCTTCTTATCTGACCTTCAGATATGTGCACTTTTAATAGAAACCACTGAAGAATGGGAACTTTGGCTATGTTTTTTGTTGCGGAGACTGATTAGCGATCTGCTCAGATCAGTTACCTCACATTAGTTAATTGGGTTAGACTGCATAGTACAGTCAATTGGGTTAGCCTGTATAATACAGCTAAGGCAGAGGGCAGAGGGCGAAACCTTGGGCAAGTTTCCTTACTCCACACGCCTAATAATAATCCCTCCAAAACCAAAAACAATAATAAAAATTGGTCATTTTCAATCTACGACTGTTTGTGGGACATTGCTGTGCGCAATTGGCTGCCGCGTTCGCCCACAAATATACAGTCAATTCACTTTACAGTGTGTTCTGTGAAGCGCTTTGGGATGTCCTCCCGACGTGAAAAGCGCTATATCAAATGCAAGGATTATTATTATTATTATTAACTGAGTTGATCTGTGTACTATAGTTAATTGGTTAGCCTGTATAATACAGCCAAACTGGGTTGATCTGTGTACTACACTTAATTGGGTTAGCCTGTATAGTACAGTTAACTAGGTTACCCTGTATAGTACAGTTAACTGGGTTAGCCAGTACAGCACAGTTGACTGGGTTAGCCTGTGTAATGCAGCTTAACTGGGTTAGATCCCTATATTAGAGGGGAAGCATCATCCACTTTCTACCTTACCAATTCCTTTCCTCATTTTAAACACCTTAGTAACACGATCCCTTAACCTCCTCAGCTTTAAGGAATATAACCCATGTCTATCCAGCTCCTCATCCCCAGCTGAATCCCTTCAGTCTTGGCATCAATCTATACCTAGCCAATTCTCTCTGGACATCCTCCAATACTCTTCCTAAAACTGAACACAATACTCCAAATGAAGTCTGACCAGAGCTTTATGTAACTGAAACATCACATGCTTGTTTTTTTTAATATTTGGCTCCCACAAATGGAAATTTGCTTTCCCACATGTTAAATGTAGTTAACTGCAAAACAAATGCTCCTTTAACCATCTCCTCTCCTGACTAGTCCAGTTTTTGTTCCTTCCACCTTAGCTTTGAAAGTTACTGAAAAGAGCATGAAATTTACTTGTGTTTCTATAGTCAAAATAACCATNAAAAAATTGGTCTGTTTAACACTTAGGTATTTATTCTGAAATTCATGTTATTGTAAATAATTTATTTGTTTTTATCTAAAAGCATATCCTGTAAAATGGCTGCATCACGGTGCTGAGAGAATGGATTTCATATTTCTATTAAAAGTTTACAAAGCACCTTTTGAGACACAGATATTGTTATGTTTTTATGTGTATACACGTCCTGAGGTCAGATTATTTGGGGCAGGTCTGCAATCAAAAATATATTGGAGGTAGGTGTCAGCCTGGCTCAATTGGTAGCACTTTCTCCTCTAAATCAGGATTTTAAAGCTAATCTAAGATGACACTTCAATGCAGTGCTTGGGGTGTATGGGTGGGTTGATGGGTAGGGGCTGCATTGTCAGAGGTGCCACCTGGATGGCATGTTAAACTGTGTGTGTGTTCAGGTGGATGTTAAAGATCCCATGACACTATTCGAAAAAAGAGAATTTCTCCTAGTGTCCTGGGCAACTATCCTCCAGATAAAATTGGTCAAACCTAGAGAATAATAATTACAGTACAATAACAATAATAATCCTTGCATTTGATATAGCATATTTTACCTCAGGAGGACATCTTATAGCTCTTCACAGGATTTACTGTAAAATGGAGGCACTGTGTATTTTCTGACTGCAGCAGCCAATTTGCACACAGCAATTAACAAAGTTAATTAGTTCTAATTAAATGAATATTTTCATCCGATTTATGTAATTTTGTAATTGTTGTTGCTCAACAACGTCTATGCACTGCCATAATTCTTAAGACGTTTTTCTTTGTGATACTTTTTGTACTCACTGAAATGAATGGGACCACAGATTAATTAATGTCTCATCATTAGAGGTACCTCTAACAATGCAGCACATTCCCAGCGCTGCATTAGAGTATCGGTCTTGACTTTAGGAGTTCCAAGTCCTGACGTGGGGCTTGAACGCACAACCCACTGACTCAAAGGCGAGTGAGCCAGGCTGACGCACAAATAGTGCTGATGAACTATTAACAGTGCCATGGATTACTGTGGAGCGGTCTGTATTTTTGAGTCAGTTCAATAGCACAGAAACATTGTCTTCTCTTTACTCTGCATCTTATCCTGACTACTTGATTGATGCTGTAACTGTGGTCAAAACAGAAAAAAAACGATCATCATCCTTCATCTTAGTGAAAGCAAAACGTATCACAAAGAAAAACATCTTAAAAATTCTTGCAGTGCGTAGAGGTTGTTGTGCAAGATATGTCAGATGCAAATAATCTTTTAATTGGAACGAAAAGGCCACTCACCCCATATGTCCGCTGACGTTTATCTCCAGCTGTGAGGTTTCATCTGTCAGAAGCTGTTCCTACTAATAAAGAGGCTTGTTTTGGAATCAAAGTACTGTATATATTAAAAGCTAAAATTAGGCAAGCAAATCTATTCAATTTGCATGATTACAGGAGCAGTGACGCTTAAGTATGCAAAACTTCTAAAGTGGATCAATCTGCTGATAACAGGGTGACGCACATAGCTGAATTAGAAGCCCGTCAGTCATATTGACTCATGAACATTAGGAAAGTCTGTCTCTTCCTGTCTATTTGGATGACTATTTTAATATATTTTGATATAAAGAGCCAAGCTGGGGGTACTTGTCCATGGCATAAAACTGTGATACTTCTGTGTAGATGAGTCAGTGACAAGAGGACATAGTTATATATCCTGTGAAGCGCTTTGAGATGTCTCTATGATATTCAATGCAAGGATTATTATTATTTCACTCTTCTTGTGACGGCCTTCCAATGAGAGCTAGAAGAAATTGTTTCACTCAGAGAATTATTGGGAAGTGGAATGCCCTGCCAAGTAAAGTGGTAGAAGTTGAGGCCACTGAGGGTTTCAAGAGGGAAGTGAATAGGATATATGAAAGACAGGGGCTTGAAGCAGTATGGGTATAAGACAGGGCAGTGTGATTGAATGAACCTTGCTCTGAGAGCCGGTGAAGACTCAATGGTCTCCTCCTGTGAATATTGGAATAACAATCACTACTGTCCAGCCGTCTGGCACTATTTCAAGGTCTGTGGAGCATCCACAAATGACATTCTTTTGCCCCTGTGGCACCCGACCAGAGAAGGCTAACACTTACAGTGTGTAAATGCTCAAGCCCCAACATTTTACTGTGCTCCTTATTTCACGAATATGACAGATACATATTTTCTACACCTATTTCCAATTAGTGTCAAGTTAAAGTAGTGTTGTGACCTTATCTATTTCCCCATTGTGGATTAAATTGATGCTGCTTGAATGCATTTCAATTTGAAGAGAGGAGTTCTTCATGTTCCAGATTAAGCTGGACTGAAACTCCGATCCAAAAGTTGAAAGAGTAGTATTGTAGCCTACTGAACGGATCATACTCTGATGCTCCTGAATTTTCTAAAGAATTAAATAGAGATATTTTTGTTGAATAAAATAAAATGATCTAATCTCTGGGTTCTGGTGTGTCAGCCTGGCTCAATTGGTAGTACTCTCATCTCTGAGTCCGAACTTGTTAGAACTTTGAACTCACATAGTCCTAGTCAATACTCCAGTGCTAGGGGTTGTTGCAGTGTCGGAGGTGTCGTCTTTCAGGTGAGACGTTAAACTAATGTCCCGTCTGTCTGTTCAGGTGGACGTTAAAGATCCCATGGCACTATTCAAAAAGAAATAGCTGTTTCTCCAGTATCCCAGGCAACCATCCTACTGAATAAAAAATGATTATTCACTTCATGGCGTAAATTGGCTGCCACATTTGCCTAAAAATATACATGATTGATAACTTGGCTGCTATCACGCTAACTCATCATAGACCTAGATTCAAAACCGAGACCCTCTGGTTTGTATGGCAGTATTGTTCCAGGTGATGTTTTCACTACCAGACCATCAGAGGGCCTGGATTGATATAGCGTGTCTAATGAAGTGAACCAGTCTTTTCTATCGTATAAGAATGGCTCATAGAAATTGATTCTGGAATTAGATTGTACTTCTCACACCCCATCATAGGATGTTTGTGCTCAGCCAATGGCCTAGTTCACCGCTGTCGTTTTTTGCAATGATGACTCATTAATAAGTAAGCTCCCTTTGGGCGTGCCACTGAGGAATAATTGGGTGTTGAGGTATGTCAGCCAGATGCATGACTTTGAACAACAACAATGTGCATTAAACTAATAGTTGTTTATACTCTCTTTACTGCAATTGATTCTTCGGCATATTCTTGGGGATGTGGAATGCCCTGACAAGTACAATTATAGAGGCTCAGTCCATTGTAGCTTTTAAGAGCGAAGTAGACAGTCACCCTGAATGGGGGATGGGGATAAGTAGTCTGGTGATATTGAATTGATCTCCTTACCCTGTGAGTCAGTGCAGACTTGATGGGCCAAATGGCTTCCTTTCTGCATGGTATATTTCTATGTTTCTATCTCACACAATAGGTGGTGTAGACAATGTGAACAGAACCCACGCCCCACTTACTTTCTCTCTGTGAGAGAAAAAACACAA